GTGCAAGAAGAGAGTAGAGGGTCCTCGCAAGCATGGATGCAAGAGCTTTGGGGCCGTCTCCTCTGCCTGTTGGAGGATTCAAAATCCGCTTGCTTCAGAGACCCTAGAAGCAGCACACCGATCGTGGCCGGCCACCCGCCAGGGCGAAGCAGGCAGTGTTTACACCTGTCACGAGGGAGTTGGGGGGTGGGGGGGGAGGGAGAAAGAGGAAGCCCGAGCAAAGCCTTAGCAAAGCCCCAAACTTCTCAACAGCTCCCGAAGGGAGCGGCCGGTGCCCAGTCTGGGCAGGTGGAAACTGACGGGCCGGGCGTAGCTCCTGGGGCCGGGGACCAGGAGAAGAGACACACATCTGCCGGTGCACGGGATGGCGAGGAGGGGGCCGTGCGCTTCGGCGCAGCCGGCGTCCCCGCACCCGCCGCGGAAGAGGGCAGAGCCCAAGCCCGGAGCCCGCAGGCCCGCACAGCCGGCTGCGTTCTCGCAGCCCAGGACTGCGCGGCTGCCAGATGCCCCGTGCCAGCCGAGGGTCCCGCCGGCAAGCCGGACGGGTCCCCGTACCCCTTTCCTCTGCGCGGCTGGGGGAGCGGAGCGGGCGCTTACCTGGCTCGTCTGGGGCGGCCGCGATGGGCATGGCTCAGGGGCCAGGGAGGAACTGGCTCCCCGGGGAAGAACCGGCTATTCCGACGCGGATCTGGTGAGAGCGGAAGGCAGGCTGCTCTCGGTCCTGTCAGCGAAGCAGCGCCATGGACGCCCACCCGGACTTTCAGCGCTGCCGCGGGACCCCCATTCCACTACCCTCCGCCCTCTTCCGCCGCCGCCTCCACCTCCTCCGCGGAGACCCCCCGCCCACTCCACACACTCTCCCATCATGCAGCGGGAGGACCGCTGTCACGAAACGTCACTTCCGGGCGCAGGTGGTTAGGTCGGGGCCGGGTTTTGGTGGGTGCTGGAGGCTGGGGGGAGGACACACCAGGGGAGTAAGTGTCACAGAATGCTATCCCTGCGCAGGCGCCGACGCACAGAGCGCCGGCCGCCATTTTGGACGCGGGCAAGCTGCCCTTTTCTTTTACTTCCCTTCGAGTCATTGAGCTGGGGGGAGGGGTTGGGGGTTCCTCCCGCACCCGCCGCCTGCCGAGCCAGCGCTCCGGGCTAGTGACAGGTGCTTCTAGGTCAGTTAACGTTAACGTTCAACTGAGGCCCGCGCTCGATTTCTCTCTGAATAAAATCACAAAGGTGTGAAAAGGCAGAACCTATCTTCACCAAAACCCAATTATTGGGTAGCACATAATGAGTTTGTCCTTTTTGGCCAACAAACGACTTTTTAATTTATAGTATGTCTCCCCCTATTTAATTTTAATCAACAGACGAGAAAGGTAATATTTAGGAAACAACAAAGAGATTGTTATGGATCTAACTTACTATGGAAAGTAAGAGAGGAAGCTGTCGCCAAACAGACAAGTCGTCTTGGAGACCAACAACAAAAAATTGGGGATTTTGCTAACGAATGGAGACAGTGGTGTTCCCCTTCACCATCCCTCCCTCCCGACACTGGATGAGCATTCGATAAAACTAAAGAAATCAAATCAATTTCTGCGTTTCTTATAATTTTTTTTCTATCAGCCCTGAGCAATTGATTATTTGCGTTTTATAATCTTTCTCCCTCTTTTGTCACGATATTTGTTAGAGCACCGGCCACCGTAAAAATCAGACTACACAGCTACGAGGATTATTACAGTCCGGGATAATGAGCCAGGGGGTAAGACGCTGCAAATGATGAGTCTTACCAGGTACTCTTCCTGCTCACTTTTCCCCAACTGTACAGGTCATTTGAATAATAGTTCCCAAGCAGCAAAGCTCAGCAGTTTCGCAAAGAAAGCAAAATTGAAAGCACCTCTCAGTCACAGAGAAGTGTCCACCTCTTTGAGTCGCGGAATTATACAAATCAGGGAAAAGATTGGGACAAAAGCAGTTCATCACGGTTTATCCCGCCTCTGCAATGTCTTAGACAAATTATCTTGGAACGCTAAAATAGATCCGCATTTGTTTCCTTACATTTCAATTGCTGTAAGATATAGAGAGACTGCATCGCTTTAAATTGGAGTACGGATTGCTTTGTGGTACTGTTTTGTTGTTGTCATCGCTCAGTCACTGAAGGAAGGAAAATCTATATAGCTTGTCAAATTTATTCCTATTGTGTTTCGCCCCCTGCTGGCTTAGCTCGAGTGCCAACTTGAATATAAATGTCACCATAAATGTTTATTGGCCGAGAAGGAAAGAAACAAAAATATATTTTGTGTGCAGATAAACAGGAAATGAACTGGTTTTAGACAAATACATGCTTGTTTTAATTTGATAGTTCTACTAGATAGAAATACAAAATTAAAAGAACATGACAAAATCTTAATGCGGACCCGACACAAAAAATTGTTTATACTGATTTAATTTAAACATCGAAACATTGTAAAAAAAAGCCCTGCTTTTGGAAAAATACTTTTCTGATTTCATTCATAACATGATTACAAAATGATTTTGTCAGGTAAATGCAGAAACTAATTCCATTCACTTAAGGAAAATCTAGAAATCAACATCCAAATTTGTAAAGACAACTTGCCTCATTTTATCATTTGTTACCTTTTCCCCATTTTCTTCAGCTTTGAATTATTTTCTAATGGAGTTGTCACCCTCCTCACAATAATGTGGTTAATAAATTTGGCAAGATTTTACCTTGAGCTGAAGTATTGTGTGTATAGAATTTGAGTCATTGAAAATTTCTTAAATAGTTTCAGTAACTTTAGAAATACCTAGTCCAAAAGCACTCTTTCCCAATTTTACAATTAAGATTAATGATGTCCTAATATTAAATGACAATGATGCCTTCATTATCGTGCCCAGTTACTTTGTAGAGAACTAGGTACTAGGAATCAAGTTTCATATTTCTTAGAATAACTTCCATTTTAACCTACATAATTTTTTGTTGAGAGAATCTACTTTTCCACAAAAGCACATAAGAATCCAAAACTATTTGGGCCCCCCCTGAGTTTGTTTTCTATATGTCCAGCTGTGCTAAAGATAAACATTCACTTGAGATCTAAATTACATTAATCATGGAATAAAAGTACTAAAGAAACTTGTTTTATAAAAGAATACAATTGCATTTTTTGTATCTGATGTTTTTGTTGCTAATTTGGTGGGGACTTCACCAGGTCACACTTGGTGAAAGTATGATAAGTAACTGAGATTTTGATTCCTATTCATTCTCATAGGTCTTTCTTAGACTTGCGTATCAAGTGTATCGAATAAATAATGAAAATTATAATTTAGTGTTGTATTTTCTGAGCTACTAAGACATTCTGGACAAATATCCAATATGTCAGGGTATTGTAGATCCCTTCGACTAAAAATTTTGAAGGATAGGTTCTTGGGGGTTGGAATTCACATAAACATGTAACATTTAAATTGATGACCTCAGAGACATTTCCAAGACATAGGAGAATAGGAGCTTGTGCCTAAATTCAACCCCTCTTTAGTTGGCTTTATTAACAATGTTAAAATGACCATCCCAGCAATGACTGACTAATAAAATGTGCCTATTAAAAATAACTAGAGCTGTATTATCCAATATAGAAGCCTCTAGTTGCCAGTGGTTGTTGAGCATTCAGAATGTGTATAGTTTGTATTGAGATATATATGTACATGACATAAATGCAACCTTGAAATTTTTGACTTTATAAAATGGAAAATAAACACTGTATAGGATTAACAAAGAAAGTAAATGGAGTGCAGAGATGAGGCCAATCTGGAATCCTTGGGAAATATCTCCGTTATATGTTTGTTTCAGTGTATCCTTCGGTTCTACTGAAGGGAGCTTCTCCAAGCCCCTGCCTGCCTATTGTACCAGGCCTTGCCCCTACACAATGCCAACCCTACCTTACAAGGGTGCTCTGTGCACTTCTCTCAACTCTGTGCTATTTTAATGAGATATGATTTATCTAGGCACTGTTCTCATGCCTCCAAAGCTGAATCATTTCAGGTTTCTTTGGAGCCTAGGATCTTATAAAGAATTTAAGGAGAATTTTCTCACTGTTTTTTTTTTTTTTTCAGTGACTCATGACTTCTTTATATTTTTAACATGTTTCATATTAGGTCCCTATGATCCTCAGGACTAGCACTTTATATCTTTGTCTAGGTCACATTGTAACCAGTGGAAAAAGTGGAAACGTCCCTGTGGCACCTGAAAATTCCAACCAAATCAATACTGCTGAGTCAGCAGCTGTTCCCTGTCTAGCTGTGATCCTTGGGGGCATTTGGCAATGTCTGAAAGAACTTTTAGTTGTTCCAACTGGGGAGGGAGTGCAACAGGCATCTAGTTGGGGGAGGTCAGGGGTGCCTGAACTCCCTACAATGCAAAGAATTGTCCTCACAGAAAGAATTATTGAATCCAAAATGTCAGTAGTGTTGAGGTTGATGAAGTTTGACCCAAAGCTGCCAGTTACTGCTGTATAGGTTCTGCTAATTTTGTCCTCTGTGTCCTTCAAGAGTGCGCTTCCCCAAACCTTAAGTCATCCAGGAGCCACACTGGCTTTCTGGAGAGCTTCAGTGTGGAACTCCTTGCTCCTATCTTGGGCCTCTGCTAGTATGTTAGAGCTGACAGAAACAATTCTGATACTCTGGCACATGTTAAGTACACCAGACCTTAAATCCTTTAGAGCCCTGAGAAGGAGATGTTGCTGTACTGATTTCCCTATTAGGAAATTAGGACAGAATTTTCCCAGGACAGGACAGGAGTGAAATGTGAAGGGGGTATGCTGGGACCTTTCTCCTTTCTGAGGAGAGCAGGACCTACCCTCAGGCCCTAGCCAGGGTCATTGCTTCCCTTCATTAATACCATCACGCAGAGTGTCTGCTTTCTCAGGTGAGGGAGTCAGCTCAGAAGCATATAGCATTCTTGGGGACTGGTGATCACTTCTCTCCACATCTTTGTCCTGAGGTGACCTTAGACTATTTTGTTTCATCCAAGTGTTATACATTATTTTTGCTCTTCCCCCACCCCCACCAAACTGAAAAACAAAGGCAATTGGACACAGCAGGACTTTCAGTGTGGTGCAGTGTGAGGCACATAGGTCACAGATGCAGAATACAGATCCCAGAAGTACACAGTATTCTTGCCAGATATATTTAACCTGAATCTAAATAAGCCTCTAAATATACCTTCCAGTTTACAGGAAATACTGGAGGAACAAGTTAAACAGGGCTACAGAGAAACAACCTCACCATCACTGTGCATGACATTGCCAAAGAACTACAAGAGAAGTAACTCGGTCTCCTCCATAGGAGTATTCTAGATTAAAAGAGATTTAAGAGAGATAACACCAAGTGTAATACAGAGTTCTTGATAGGATCCTTATTTGAATAAACCAGTTATAAAAGACATTTGGGGATTAATTGAGGACATCTGAATATGGGCTGGCATTAAATGTTCTTCAGGAATTATTTAGTGTTAATTGTTAAGACATCATAATGAAATTATGGATACATATGAGAATGTCTTGCTTTGCGGAGATGACTAAACTGTCAAGATATATATAATTTATTTTTAAATGATTCAGGGAAAAGAGACACACATACAGAGATAAAGCAAGTATGGTGAACTGCTAGCAGTTACTGAATTGAACCCAGGTTTTGAATATCCTAGTGATTATTGTATTCTTTTTTGCTATTTTGAATATTTTCATATTAGAAAGCTAAAGAAAAGATGAGTAAAGACTATCTGAATTCACAGATGATGTCTCGATTTATTTTACATTTATTTTCAAATTGTTGCATTC